GGATTAAACTCAGTCGGGCTGTGAGTGCATTTAATTTATTGCATTTCATGTTATGTTTGAAAACACCTTATCACCTCTGAATCACTGGGGGGATTTCTTCCTGAGATAGATTTGTATTTTAAGCATGTTATGCCTGCTCTTTCAAGTAGATTATGAATAATAAAGAAATAATAAAGAATAAATAAAATTCTAATGGTATAAAATTAGGGAGATCTGAATGCCCTAAGAAGCATATGATAATCATTTTACAGGCTCTACAGCCTTGAAATTTCAATAGTTTAATAATACAATTGTATTGCAATTCTGGAATGAGATTAGGAAGCTGCCATACATCAAGCCAAAGCATCGGTTGTTTGAGCAGAGTTTTGTCTACACTGCTACTGTCTGCATGCACTCTACCTTCGAGTTAAGCCTTTCCAAGAACTCCTAGCGGTTTTTTTATTTTGCAAAATAAGCAACTCCAATTTTCTTTCTTTCTCCTTTTATCAACACTGAACAGGGAGTGCATCATTAACTACATCAGAAGTTACTGTTTGCTTTTTTATAAAGTACCTAGAAGCAAAGTGGGTAATAACACTAAAAATGGACTCGGCAAATAAAAGTTTGGTAGATTTCTGCCATCACTTGGCTATGCAAACTCGCAGTGTAACTAACTGGGGGATTTATTGTGTTGGTGCCCAGCAGAATCATTACACTGAATGATATATTCTGCTTTCATTGAGTGTTAAGTCTCTATTTTTAGAAGGCTGCATGACAGGAATAATAAAAAGAATCTGTTTTTATCTGAAATCTGGAAAGCAAAAGGTTGAGTCAGTGGCTGATTTTCTCCGTGCAATTTCCTCTTTGTACAGCCCATGGCAGCCAGCAACCATATCCTCACTTGATCGCATACATGTGATGGCTCTCATGGAAGTGTCTAACTTGCATGTACAAACAAACTCCATGTTGGATGTTATTAGGAGCTACTGGGCTAGAACAGAAAACCTTCAATTCAATATACAGCTGCACCACACCTAGCTTTCAGAGCTAGAGCTCAGAGCATCCAAGCGGTAAAATAGTCTCTGGTCTTGGACCTCCACCAAGCTGGTCATTGGGCCATCCTAAACAGGAAGTTCTACAAAGGACTTCCTGTTTCAGCTACGATTTTGCCTGAGCAGCAAGGTCTTCTTGGGTCTGGTGTGCACCTGCATGTCCCTGTCAAAATTTCTGATTTGCCTCTGTGGCCTATGGCTCAGGCTTGAAAAATGTTTAACTTCTGCTCTGTTTGCAATCCAATAATTATATGCCAACAATTTCAAACACCCGCAAATTTCTAGGGCTGGAATACACACCACACATCAAAAACACATTATTTTCCCCGAAGAATCTTGGGAATTGTAATTCAAGGGTATTGGGAATTGTAACTATGTGAGTGGTAAACTACAGTTCCCATGATTTTTTTAAAAAGGGAAAGTAAAGTGCTTTCAATGTATGGCGTGTATACAGTCCTAGAAGTGGCCATAAAATCAAAAACTTGGGTCAGTATGTACAATTATAGAATATTTCTTACTTTACTTCAGATTATCTTCACAATCAAGGCTGGTTCACACATGCAAGCTGATCACTAGATGGCAACAAACAATTGCTTGCACGCATGAATGGGTCATCATAATAAAATGTCTCAAACTATTTTCATGTTGCCTTTTAAAATATCAAATGCAATGTTTGTAATGGATTAGGTTCACAAGTTAAGCTGTCTGTCATCAGTTATCCAATAGCCAACTGATATACCGTACATAAACAGATGAATCAATCCTAAGGGCTGTACAGTTTCTTTCCTTAAAATGTTTGTTGACATTTGCATGCTGTCAAGAAATCTTTGTGAAAGATGCCAACTAGTCAAGACTCATATAATGTGAGGAATTATCTGTGAAAAATCAGACTTCTGGCCAGAATGCTTGGAAAGGGAAGACCATCAAAAGGTTCGGGAAGGTGATACACCTCTTGTCGCCAGCTCAGGGAAGAAGGCTGTTGAAGGGGTGTGTGTGTGTGTGTGAGAGAGAGAGAGAGAGAGAGAGAGAGAGAGAGAGAGATGAGCTTTCAAACTCTCAATATTTTTCAAATATGATTTGGCCATATGCTGGCCAACCTAGAACAAAGCACAAGTGTGTTGGGTACTGTTGTGCAACAAACCTGCTTTTAAAAGCACAAAAAGGTGACAGGAAAATGCAATGGTAAAGTTGGGTAACAGGATGTAAGGACACAAGAAAAGCCCTTCTGGATCAAGTCAAAGGCCCATCTGGCCCAGTATCCTCTTCTCTCATAGATGCCTATGCAAAGCTTGCAAGTAGAACCCAAGTGCACCAGCAATATCACCACCTGTGATTCCCAGAAACTGCCATTCAGAGGCATACTGCCCCTGACAGTGGAGGTAGAACATAGCCATCATGCTTTGTAGCCATTCTGAATAAACATCCACGAGACTTATAAGAACTTACAGCTGCTTACGTTTCACCCTGAATTTTACTGTATGGATGTCATCTCCTATAGCTATAGAAAAATCAGACACCTGGGTTTTGGTCATGCAGTGAGATGATTATTTTTAATGGTAATTTTGGGTTGCCTAATTTTTTCATGAGTACCTCCTTTCCATGGATGGAAGTGGAGGGAAGGCAATGCCCCCCTGAAGCCCTCAGGTCACTTCTTGTGCAGGACTCTCCTCTTCCAATATTCCACTAATGCTTGGAAAATCTTTGGAGAATTCCTCAGACACCTTTTCTGACTCAGATAAAAATAAATCAGGCAAATGTGACTCCAACCAATCAAGAAAGGAATGTGCCATCAATGTGACAGGTCTAAGCAAAATAAGAGGAGTCCAGGGTACAACCAATGGAAATCAGGGAGAGGGCACACAAAACGTGTGAATTGAGATGTGTATACAATTGTTTCTAGTCCAATCCTATTGTGTTCATCACCAGGTTAACATTGTTTCTTCATGTCATTTCGACAATTCCATTGTTCCTGAAAATGCAACAGTGAAGTTCTTTCTCTGATTTCCTCTACATGTTCAGCTGCCTACTTTTCTCCAAATAATAATAATGACAAGGGTATGATAACTCAAGCATCACAGAAGAATGTTGCCCTTTCAACACTGGGATAAGCTCTACAAGTGAGAGGCATTAGAATGTTTCTGCTGGAGTAATGGGTAATGGAAAGGAATGAAAACCAAATTGTAGGATTTGTCTTTATTTAAACTTAATGTCCACAGCTCTCTGCGGCCATAATTTGGATAACTTGCCTAGGTCTGTTTGCAAGACGACACAGTTTTGTATCTGACTCTCTTTTTTGAGCATTCCCTGATTTATGTAAATTAAAAGCGAGTAGAAGCCTTTCCTAGCTGAAGCGAGCTGGTGTGCTGCATAGAATATTTTCTGTGCCTCTGAATCCAATCCCTCCCCCAAAGTGTACCTCTGGAATTACATGTCGTTCTGCCTCATAACATGCAATAAATCTAATATAAATGCAGTATTCCTTACCTTTGCAGAGCTTTACTGTTCTATAAAGCTGTGATAATAAAACTGTCATGCCCAAGTGGTTGAACCAAAGTACTTGGGTCCAAACTGGCTTACAGCCTTATCTGTAAATCAACATCTCCAGCAGCATCCTTAGTCTGGCAAGTGGAGCACAACTATCACGTGACCTGTTTGCTATTAGAATCCTCTCTTGATTGTCCCGTTTTCCTAGGTGCAAGGACGGAGCCAGTTTTGCAACTATGATGGGGCCAAAGTTGGCAGGTGAAGAGCCAGTTTCCAAGGCATCGTCTGGAATGTACTAGGTTTCTAATCCACGTTCACAGAACATAATGGAAAACGCATATGTACCCCGTACTTTGTAATAAGAGGCTTCTATATGATGTGCTGTTTCTCAAACCAGCTTCACACTGACCAGAGTCCTTAAGCTGTTGCTATTTCGTCTCTAGCCAAGGGCTGAACACCTTTGCATAGGGTAAAGACTCACCCCTCCTGTCAAACGGCAAAAGAATCTGACATTAACAAAGCTGTGCTGATGTGAACAGTTAATGGGGAAAGAGCCGGGAAACCCACCAGGGAGGGAGAATTTCACTGCTCTCTAAGGTGGCAAAGTCAACACACCCTGAGTGTGCTCAGATGGATGTGACCGCTAGGAACTTAGCCTGTCTTTTAAATAATTTTTTATTAGTTTTCCATTTAATAATATATGTTCACATTGATATTGTCCTCTTCACATCTCTGGCTCTATAGAGCCCATCGACTTCACTCCTTTCCACCTCATGGCTTTCAAAATTAACCTTTATCTTGTTGCATTTTGTGCTTTTTCCAATTCTAGATCACTCATTACATAAAATGTTGAGATTTAAATTAAAATAAACAGGGAGAAAGTTCATCATTACAAGTCTTTGGACAACCCTGCTAGTGATGTTAACTGCTTGCAGTAATCTTTCAAATATTGTATAAATTTACTCCAGTCCTTGTAAAATACTTGATCATGCTGGTTTTGGATTATTCCAGGCAGCTTTGCCAGTTCTGCAAAGTCCATCATTTTCATCAGCCACTCTTCTTTCGTTGGGACATCTTGTTGTTTCTATTTTGGGGCTAGGAGAATTCTTGCCGCAGGTGTTGCATACATAAACAGTCTTTTATCTTCTCTTGGTATCTCTTCCCCCACTATAACCAATAAAAAGGATTCTGGTTTTTTAACAACGGTATCTTTAAACATTAGCCTTTCAACTATACTCATTGATATTTGATCTAGCTATGAAATACTGGTTAAATATTTTTTATGTTTTTTTAAAAAAACAACAACAATGTGTTAGCTGCCTTGTTACATTATATTTCTTATTGCTGAGAAGCTGACCAATGCAAGCTCCCTAATATCACTTCTAATCATGATTTAGGAAAAATGAAAACTTATATCAAACATATAGTGAAAACTCACACCAAATCTTCTCCTTGTCCATTCCGCTGATGGATTCCATCTGCCAGGCCTGAGGGATAGCTCAGTTGGTAGAGCATAAAACTCTTAATCTCAGAGTTGTGGGTTCAAGCCCCATGCTGGGCAAAAGATGATCTGTGTGGTCCCTTCCAACGCTCCAATTCTGTGATTCTATCAGCAGAAAGGCTCCAAATTAGATTCTAGACTGCAAATTAAGAGGGTCGTTGAGTGCCAAGTTACAGGGCATTCATAAGAGATCCCCATATTGCAAACTGATTTCCCTCCATATTGTCATCTCTCTGTTTTCTCAAAATTTAGCAGAGTTCCCCCAAGCGACAGACTTTCTAGTGTGCAGAATACATTCTTTTTCCTTGATGCCACTCTTGTTGCAATTACTACTGAGGCTCCTTCAGAGAGCTCATGGCTCATGTTTTCCTGTATACCCGCAAGCCCCTGAGGAAATGGATTTGGTATGTGGAACATACACAAGCTCTGTTAAAATGAAAGGTACGGTTTACTCATCAATCAGTTTTTCTTTTTTATAGCAATGACAAACCTTAAATTTTCCATTTGGTAACAACTGGCAGAGCTAACCAGAGCCACTGATTTTTTAAAAGCCAGAAGAGGTAGAATTTAAAGTGTCCAGAGCAAAAAATAAATCTCTGTCTATTGTTTATGCAGCAAAATTGCCACAAGCAGTCAGATCTTTACTGACAGGAGCAGCTGATCAGACTTCAGTGCGGTTGGTCTCAATGGTGAATATCCGACTTTGTGACAGATTTAGGAATGAAAATGGCAGCTTCATTGAAGTTTTCTTCATCTGGGTCAGCTATACACAGCTCTGTGCAGCAAGCTACAGCAGTTTGTTTGTCTGTTGTTATGCATTTTGATCATTCAACACAATCTAGGAAGCTGTCAAGGAAAATAGGCATAATAGTTTAGGCCAGCTTTCAATAACCCTCTTGCAGACAATTTATCCTTTACACTGCATTCTTGATCTGCAAAATGCTAATAAAATTAATTGTGCTCACCCACACTTTAGTGATGTGAGTCACGATCATTTCCATTTGACCGAAACAGTTACTTCCCTATGGATTTAGTGCATATTTGATCATGACTGTGCTCCAAAGAGTTCAAGGATAATATTCCCAGTTCTCCCTCTTCCTTTCATTTGCTCAACAATCATTTGAGGTAGCCTAGATTGTTTGGTGAGCTCCATGGCTGTGTAGGGGTTTAAACCTAAAGTCTTCCAAGTCCTAGTGCAACCTTTAAACCACTGCATTGTACTAGATTGTCACATAGCTAAATTTGCTTGGTTATGGCTCTGTCATGTTGTCCGTGCTGGCTGCTTGATCTACAAACTGGGTGGTAGCCAGCAAGAACCATAGCTTATTTGGATAAGAAATTGTGCTGAAGCTGTCAAATGCAACACTGAATAGGACCCCACTGTTTTGTTTTATTTTTATTTATTAAATGTGTATGCCACCCTTCATCCAATGATCTTAGTTTCCACTGGATTGATGAATAGGAATGGGTGTCTTTTGAAGACAACTCAGAGAAAGCTGCTTATCCCTACTGCCAATCCATACAGAGGCAGTATGGTGTATGGATTCCCCAAGTCCATAACTGGTATGCTAATGATATGTATACATAGGAGCTCTTTCATATGATGCCTCTTTCATATGATGCTTAGAACATCTACACGAGTAAGGACTGTATGTATATGTTTGCACAGCAACGTCATACCCTCCAACTTCTTGTAACTGAAATCTGGGGCACACACCCCACCAGGCCACTGCTACCCCACCCAGGCCTGCCACCGTTCCCCTGGCACAGGACCTCACCACTCCCCCCCCCCCATCAGGCCACTTCAGCTGCCACAACCACCCGCTGCTGGGGTTTCTCACCACCTCTGCCTCCAAGAAGCCCTCCATAGGTCTCTGCTGAGTCCCACCGAAGTCACTGATGTACTTCCGGAAGCTCGAGATATTTTGGAAGTACACTTCTAGAAATATGGCCCTGCTTCCTGAAGCACATCAGCAGCCACAGCAGGCCTCCGGGCCTCAGCAGATGCCTTGCGGAAGTGGCAGAGGAGAAAGCCGGCCATCACAGATTGACATAAGAAGCCGGGGCAACTTCTGTCAATCAGTGATGCCCTGGAGAAATCGGAACTATTGGCAGGTGTGCAACATCACATTTAAATTGGGAATCTGTGGTACTGGAAAGGCACTCCACACATGCTAGAAATCATTCCCTACTTTCTTGGTGTGGGAAAACAGCCCTGGCAAATGTGAATTAAATAATACAGCATTATGACTTCCATATGTCCCGAGGCTGATATTTAGTGTTGACGATAGGATGGAGTGAGGGCTGGTCCTATCATTAGACAGGGTGAGGCAGTGGATGGCCAGGGATGAGAAGCAGTGTTGAGGTGCTGGAAGAAAGAGCTTTGCATGCCATGCAACTGACTCCATGCCCCCTAAACTTGCCAGCTGCTCTCAAGTGATGGGGAGAATGCTGCCCCATCACCATTGCTGAAGTAAGATTCAGCTGCAAATCTAGTCAGCTTCTGTCATGCGGAATGTGTGTGTGAGCAGGAGCATCTTTGCCTCAGGCAGCAAAATATCTTGAGCTGGTCCTGGCTGCAGGGCTGAGCAAAGGCTCAAAGTAATGATTACCAAGATCACAGAATGAATCATTTGCAGAGGCAGGACTTAAATCCATGACACCCTGTCTTCTTCTTCCTATTTTTTGCCATTATCAGCCATCTCTGTACACACTCCCTTTGATTAGCTTACACGCAAAAATGTTTTATTTTTATGTGACAACTGCAGGCTACAGACATAAAGATCAAAGATTCAAATCTAAAATTAATTAGGAAGACATGGGGCTAACCTTTCAGCCAGAAGCAAAAGAGCACAAAATAAAAATGTTAATGCAAAAGGGCAAATCAATCTAAGCATTCATAGCAGTAATTAGCTGGCCAGTGGTGCTAAACTCAACCAAAAGAAGCAATAGCCGTTCAGGGTCTTATTCTACAGGTTAATTTTTTCATTATATGGGCTTCCCAAAATGCATTGATTCTCTAGTCAGAAACAATTGAAGGAGACTCTGTGTACAGCATCTAAACTACCAAACACTTTGCAGCAACTAATAAGTAATCAGAACATTGGTAGTGGCTGTGATTGTTCAGAATGATAAGCTTAAAGCAAAGAGCAATAACAAACAACACTTTTAAGGAGAAAAGCATGTTGGGGAGAGACCCATTTTGAATGGTAAAGTAGTGAATGGATAGGGCTGCTTAACCTTTTCATCCTGGAGCCATTCTCTTGTGCTCTTTTCCCTCCCTCTCCAGCTGCTATTTCCCTTTCCAGTGTCTACTTATGGTGGGATGCTGTGAGCAGTGAAAACAGTCCAGGTGGCATTTGGAGCAGGGAAATGGCCAGCAACTTAGATGATTGATTTATGAAATTTATTGACGGCTTCACAGCATAAAGCTATCAAAGCAATTGGTGTACATTGTAAAAACAAATCAAACACAGATACACAAAATCTCAGAACAATAAAATCAGTTTCAAGAAACAATAAAACCATCCATACAAACTTTAAAAACAACGAAACTACAGCTTTACAATATAACATGTGGAAAATATGTGAAGACGATGGGAATGAACAGAGGAGGAATGTTAACTGGGAAAGACCCAAGAAAAGTGTTAGATGGGGGGGGGATTAATTTTATAATTTTAAATATTTCATTCTACCATTACAATAATCACATAATTCTACATGATTACATAAACATCTATTCCACATCCCATTAAGTTAAAAAGGAAACAAACATGAAAATACATAACACTGCAAACAGGCAAATATCAAATATTTGTTGTTGTTTAGTCGTTTAGTCGTGTCCGACTCTTCGTGACCCCATGGACCAGAGCACGCCAGGCACTTCTGTCTTCCACTGCCTCCCGCAGTTTGGTCAGACTCATGTTTGTAGCTTCGAGAACACTGTCCAACCATCTCGTCCTCTGTCGTCCCCTTCTCCTTGTGCCCTCCATCTTTCCCAACATCAGAGTCTTTTCCAGGGAGTCTTCTCTTCTCATGAGGTGGCCAAAGTATTGGAGCCTCAGCTTCACGATCTGTCCTTCCAGTGAGCACTCAGGGCTGATTTCCTTCAGAATGGATGCGTTTCATCTTCTTGCAGTCCATGGGACTCTCAAGAGTCTCCTCCAGCACCATAATTCAAAAGCATCAATTCTTCAGCGATCAGCCTTCTTTATGGTCCAGCTTTCACTTCCATACATCACTACTGGGAAAACCATGGCTTTCACTATACGGACCTTTGTTGGCAAGGTGATGTCTCTGCTTTTTAAGATGCTGTCTAGGTTTGCCATCGCCTTTCTCCCAAGGAGCAGGCGTCTTTTAATTTCGTGGCTGCTGTCACCATCTGCAGTGATCATGGAGCCCAAGAAGATAAAATCTCTCACTGCCTCCATTTCTTCCCCTTCTATTTGCCAGGAGGTGATGGGCCCAGTGGCCATGATCTTTGTTTTTTTGATGTTGAGCTTCAGACCATATTTTGCGCTCTCCTCTTTCACCCTCATTAAAGGTTCTTTAATTCCTCCTCACTTTCTACCATCAAGGTTGTGTCATCTGCATATCTGAGGTTGTTGATATTTCTTCCGGCGATCTTAATTCCGGCTTGGGATTCATCCAGCCCAGCCTTTCACATGATGAATTCTGCATATAAGTTAAATAAGCAGGGAGACAGTATACAGCCTTGCCGTACTCTTTTCCCAATTTTGAACCAATCACTTGTTCCATATCCAGTTCTAACTGTAGCTTCTTGTCCCACATAGAGATTTCTCAGGAGACAGATGAGGTGATCAGGCACTCCCATTTCTTTAAGAACTTGCCATAGTTTGCTGTGGTCGACGCAGTCAAAGGCTTTTGCATAGTCAATGAAGCAGAAGTAGATGTCTTTCTGGAACTCTCTAGCTTTCTCCATAATCCAGCGCATGTTTGCAATTTGGTCTCTGGTTCCTCTGCCCCTTCGAAATCCAGCTTGCACTTCTGGGAGTTCTTGGTCCACATACTGCTTGAGCCTTCCTTGTAGAATTTTAAGC